GGCCTTTGTTCCCCTGGGCCTGTTTACTCGGGGCCCTGGGGACCTGGGCAGCGCGGGGCTCGGGGACGCAGCGCAGGGAGGCGAGTTCTTCAGGGGTGCTGTCCACTCCTCCCACTGAGGGCAGCAGGAGCCTCCCTTGCCCGGCTCCAGATTGCTGTGGTCTTTCAATTTCACTGTCCCCAGGCCTCACTGTGGCCAGCGAGGGTCTCGAGAGCCGAGAACAGCCATGGCCCCTGCGTGGCCGGCTGGTGCCCTCCCCTTGCCCCAGGGCCCAGCCTCCCTCGGAGGCGCTGCAGCTGGCTTTGGACTTAGCTGGCAGCTGTCCCCTCCTGTCCTCATCTCCTCCCCCCATCAGCTTTCAGGGACCAGGCCATCATGGAGCCCAGGGAATGTTCTGGAGAGGCTGTCTGGGGCCCTGGCAGGACTTGCCTCCGTGGAGACCCGGAGGAGCCAGAGCTCCTTCCCTTTCCTCCTTTTCCTTCTGCACACTCTGGGCAGCGAAGGCTGCCTCTGAGGGTCCAGTCACGTCCCGCCAGGCGCAGGGCCTCCACGGGCATGTCCTTTGCTCGGCTCTGAGCCCGAGGGTGGTGGCTGGAGGGGCGCTGTCCACCGCCCTGGGCAAACCCACGGTCTGTACAGAGCCAGGCCTCGTCAGATCCTTGGGACGCCGCATCTCTAGGGCGCAGGAGCCGTCCCTGCAGGCAGCGGGGGCAAGACGCCGGTGTTGCCTGCACAGGAGTGGGGACTGTCTCCGCAGCGGCTCCCTAGGTCTGTGGCCACACCTGGTTACGGTGAGCAGCACTGGCCCAAGGTCTGCTCCGAGGTGAGGACACGGTGTGGGGTGGTTCAGGAAGGGTCCAGGGACTCCGGGAGAGCCGCAGGCTGCTCCCCCGGGGGGGAGGGCACTACCCTGGACGGGGCTTGGGATAAAGATTGGGAGGATCCCAGCGGCACCACAGCCCCCGAGCCGGCCCTGCTGAGGCTGGAGCATTGCGCAGAGAACCACTGATGGGCATAGGAGCCGGCAACCCCCGGGAGGCCCCGGCAGTGGCTCTCGAAGACCCGCTTTAGGAAGCCCTGCCCACCTGCAGGGCCTGGGGCTGTCACCAGCTGGGAGACACAAGCTCCTGCCAAGCACAGCAGCCGCCCACCCACTTCCCAGTGGTCTGGCAACACAGCCCTTCCCACACAGCTCCCTGGGCTACGCGCACTCGAGGGGGTTGACGCTTTGCCCTTAGACGGAAGAGGTTAGTGAGAGGGGCCCAAGCCAGCGCAGCCATGCTGGGGAGCGTCCTGCGGTGACAGCATGGTTGCCGTGGCGAGGAGGCCTTGGCAGCATCTCCAGGGCACAGAGGAGGGTACAGCCCCTCACCCAGCCCCCCAGGCCCTCGAGTCACCACAGAACCCATTATCTGCAAAGTAGCACTTCTCCAAAGCACACAGGGTGCTGGCTGCTGCCAGGTAGAGACACGCAGGGCAAGCCGAGAACCTGAGTTATGAGGATTTAGAGGTAAAGGTCACAGAGCGTCTTCATCCACAGAGATGGGTTCTCCCCGTGGAAGAACCTGGTCCTAGGGACAGGCCCCTGGTCAGAGTGACAGGAACTTTGTCCTAGGGACAGGAACCTGGTCTAGTGACAGATCCCTGGTGCTGGTGACAGAAATCTGGTCCTGGTGACAGGAACCTGGTCCTAGTAACAGGGACCTGGTCCTAGTGACAGGGACTGGGTCCTAGTGACACGACCTGACCCTGCTCCCAGGCTCCTTGCCCAGGTTGCTGTCACCTCACTGGCGCCTGAATTTCTAGTCCTTCTGTTGGGTGTCTGTGCTCTGAGGCTGCTGTGGCGGCTGTCCCTCTGCCTGTCACGTCTTGGATCACATTTCCGCAGGTTTTGTTTCAGGCAGGCAAGTGGCCAGGAAGTTCCAGGGAGATTCATTTTGGGAAGTGGCTTCCATGGGGCCTCTTTCGAGCAGAGAAGGCCCGCGAGCTGGTGGGCAAGGCCGGGTCGGGTGTCTGAGCGCAGTGGGGACGAGGGCGACAGTTTCCAGGCCTGTGGCACTTGCTCCCCCAGGGCAGCTGCCTCTCTGGGCCTGAAGCTGCCCCGGCCTCCACTCTGAGGTCTGAAATTCCAGCTTCTGCCCTGGTCTTGCCTTTCCAAGCCCTCCTTTGAAATGCAAATCTGGTAACACAGTCTGTCAGGCACTCAGGGGACAGGTCTATCAGCTCCCTGCTCTTACGGTCAGGAGAGCCTGGGCCCACAGACCCTGCCAGACTCCACCGGCCCCACTCGGGCTTCCCTGGGCTCTGGCACCGAAGGAGCACCTGCCGGTGGGTGGGCTGCTGGTCAGAGCAATGGACTCAAGGCCAGCGGACAGGGCAGAGGCACGTCCCTCCTGCAAGAGACCCCCAGAGGTACAGGCCAATGGAAGAGAGGTTCAGGATGCCCAGCTGGGGGTGCAGGAGCTCACCTGGGAGTGCAGGGCACTCACCTGGGGTTACTGGAGCTCACCTGGGAGTGCAGGGTGCCCACCTGGGATGTCTTCCCTTTATTGATGCACTCTGGGGGTCAGCAGTTTGTCTTCCTAGAGCTTCTTTTACTATTTATTTTCCCTAATGGTGGAAGATTAGAGCAGTACAGGTGTGAAGGGGCATGAAGTTCTGCCCAGATTCAGGGTTCAGATTCAGTCCCCCCAGAAACTACAGGGGGGCAGGAAAGCAGGGGGAGCCAGGCCTGAGCTGGGAAGGGCGAGAAGCTGGGCAGTGCAGCACTGGGGAGGGCGGAGGGTGGGCCGGGCCGTGCTGGGAGGGAACGGCTACAGGCCCTCAGGCTCACTGAGGTCTGGACGCCTCCATAGTCCAATAAATCTCTGCTTGCACCCTCAGTTTATTTTTAAGTTAAATGTAGTCTCGTTACTGTCATTACGGAAATAGCACACCCAGGGCCCTGAGCTGAGCTGCGCTCTGGGAACGCACGTGCAGCAGCAAAGGTCTGGCGCCGCCACCGCTCCGCAGCTCGCTGGAGAAAGTCCTGCCAGCTGACCGCAGGGCGGCGTTGAAAGGACCTCTGCTTTTCCACACTCCGGAGCCTCCTTGGCCGCCCCCATGTCAACTCTCGTTTCTGCAGGACTTTCCTCCCAGGCCGCCTTCTGGTCTGGCCGTGGTGCTGTCCCTCTCCAGGTGGCCACGTGGCTCCTGCATCCACTCCCTCCTCTGCATCGTTCGCGGCCTCCCCTCCCTGAATGCTGGTGCTTGCCCGGGCTCCGCGGGGCGTGCGCCGTCTCTGAGCTCCGGGCTCCCCAGGCTGCCGCCCCGACACCCGAGGGCAGCTGCTGTGTGTGGGGAAGTTCCCGGCAGGCATGTTTCCTCAGGACGTTTACAGCGCGGGCCTGTCGTCCTCGACGCCCGGGCACAGGACCCAGTGTCCGCAGAGCGTGGCCGGTGAACCAGTACGGGGTGCCGTGCGCCAGAACGTTCTCGCACGCGCCCACCTGGACCACGCTGCTCCCACTGCCTCTGCCACGCAGTCTAGAAGCGCCCCCGGCCCCTCGGCCCCTCCTCCGTCCCCTCCCGCGTTCTGCCGTGGTGTTTGGGCGTCAGTGCGCGACGCATTCCTCGCTCCACGACGGCACTCGGAGGACATCTGTGAAATGGAGAAATGGCACATAATCCCCGCGCCAGAGACAGCGCATCGCAAATTGCTCGCGTGCATTTTCTTCCAGCCCATTTTCTCCTGACGAGATGTTTCTCAGACCACAGAACTCGCACCAGGTCTGAAGCATCATAAAAGGTTTCTTTCTCTTTGACGAAGTGTAACACACCCACAAGAAGTTCACGTGTTCTCACTAAACCCACTGTTGCTTCTAGTAATTTCTTAACAGCTTTTCCTTCTTAGGTATCTGAGTGCTGCACAGACGCCCATGGCAAACCCACGGCCGGTCCTGCCGGAAGCTCCTATTTCAGACAAAGAAATGGTGTCGGCGATAAAACGAGGTGCTGCCGGCGCAACACCCGACCAGCCTTTCCTCGTCCCTCGGGGACACAGGGGGCCTCGGGCTTCACATTTCAGGCCAATGCTGTTGAGCCTTCTGATTTAACTTTCTGCTCTTCCCTCCAGCCTCCCTGCTCCTGCCCCAGCCCCGAGCCCTCTGGGGTCCTGGTGCCTCCAGGAACAGCCTCCCTGGGCAGCTGCACTTTCTGTGCAGCCCCTGAGAGTCTCAGTCCAGTGAGCTCCATCTGGGTTTTTCTGGCTGTTTCAGGAAACTTGTAGGATCTTGAGTTCAGCTGGAGCCGCACTCAGGAACCACCCCCCATACCTTGGCCATAACTCGTGTTGAGAGCCCCAAATTTGAAGGGGCTCCGTGAACTTTGGAGTCATGACATCAGCATGCTGCACTGACCCCCCAGCCAGGGCTGTGTCTGGGTTCCGAGGGTCTCTGCTGTCGCTGGGCCTCTGGGCTTTGGCTTCTCAGACAGGCAGCTGTAACCGCTCTAGGTCTAGAGGTACAGGCTGCGTCACTCCCTGGGGTCCCGCCCTGGGACAGAGCTGGCGCTGGGTGGGGAAGCGGCCTCAGCAACCCACTGCCTGTCCCACCCGGCCCAGGGTCAGTGTCTGTGGCGGAGGCACCTGGTGTGGCTGAGGACCCAGAGTGCCAGGCGTGGCCCTGTGCCCCAGAGCCCTGCCTGGGGTGGCCCTGCACCTCCTCAGCCTCCACTTCCGGGGGCCTGGCCTCCTGCCCTGGGGCCAGGCACCTCGAAAGTCCAGAGAGCATCGCTGCACTCCCCACCTGGGGCCCGCACAGCCTCCCTGGGCCTGAGGGGCTGCTGCACACTCGGTGGGCTCTGGGCTTCTGGGCAGGTCCTCCTTGGACGTCCCGAGGGTCACTGCTCACCCTCCCCTGGGCAAGGCTCAGTCCTGCGACCAGAAGGCCCAGCACTGAGGCTGCTCCGGGCCCTTCCCAGGGATGGTGGCCCCAGAGCTGCAGGGGGGAGTTGCCCAGGGAGGGGGCTGTGCAGCTGTGGCTGGGGGGTCAGACAGGGTCTGCTGTGCCAGGTCAGACCCTGAGCCTCCCTGGCCTGGAGCCCCCCAGGGCGCCCTGCTTGGCTCCCACCTGGGCTCTGCTCTTGCTGATGGTTTTAACTGAGTGGGGGGCGGGGCCCTTGACCCTCCGGCTTGGCAGCGGGCTGGGTGCCAGGAGGGCAGCAGCGCCCCCCACAGCCTCTCTCAGCCCTGCTGTGTCCTCAGCTGGACACACACTCACCTGCGGGCCAGGTGGCTCTGAGGGGCTCCAAGGAGGGCCTGCCCGTCTCTGGGCTCTGGGCACATCCTGAGCCTGCCTTGGCACGTGCAGTGCGTGTCCTGTCCTGTCCCCCGGCCAGCCGGGGATGCTGGGGCCCTGTGAGAAGCAGAATGACGCCTTTCTGCTCTCCTTCCTCCCACAGCAACATGGCCGACAGCAAGGCCAAACCCGCCAAAGCGGCCAACAGGACGCCCCCTAAGTCCCCGGGGGACCCTGCCAAGGACAGGGCAGCGAAGAGGCTGTCACTGGAGTCAGAAGGTGCCAGTGAGGGGGCAGCTGCCACGGCTCCTGCGCTCAGCGCCCTGGAGGAGGCCTTCCGGCGCTTTGCGGTGCACGGGGACACGCGGGCCACGGGGAAGGAGATGCATGGTAAGAACTGGTCGAAGCTGTGCAAGGACTGCCAGGTGATCGACGGCAAGAACGTGACCGTCACCGACGCGGACATCGTCTTCAGCAAGATCAAGTAAGTGCCACACGGGCTTCGTCCAGGCCAGGTAGCTTCTCTTCCAGGGCCCAGGGTCCACGCTCAGGGAGGGATGGGCGTACAGACTTCCCACGAGGTCTGCGGTTCCAAATCTGGGGGGTAGATTCTGTGCTTTAACGGGCAGTAAGGACCCGTGACATGGTTGTGCTTCAAGACACCTGCCCTTCTCGGAATATGATGCCCAGGGATTGCAGCCAGGCCTCGCCATGCCCGGGGCAGGTCCTGGGGAGAACATGGTTCCTAGAGCGTCTTGGACTCCTTGATGCCATGTCCTGAGTCTCGGTCCCCACCTTTGGCACCTCCTGGGCCTGTGATGGGGTGTCTGGCCTTGGAGCAGATGGGGGTGAACTCTGCTCTCCCTGTCAGAAGCTGTCACTGGACATCACGAGCTTCCTGTGAGCAAGGACAGTGCCAGCACGTGGCTAGGGGCAGGTGGCTCCAGTGGGCAGAGGGGGCTGAGTTTGCAGGCAGGTGTCTGTGGCCCCAGGCTGTGGAGCCCCGCGTGCATGTATGTGCATGTGTGTTCCTGCCATGTGCACATGTGTGCATGTTCCTGTGCTATACGCACACATGTGCATGTTCTTGTGCTACATGTGTAGATATGTGTCCACATGTGTGCGTGTTCTTGTGCTGTGCATGCACATGTGTGCATGTTCCTGTGCTGTGTGCACGTGTGCATGTTCTTCTGTGCGCACACATGTGCATGTACCTATGTCATGCACATACACGTACTTCCTCTTGGACACTGGGACATGTGTTGCGGTACCCTCAGACCCCACTTAACATCCTGCCGTGCATCCCTGAAGCACAAGGACGTTCTCCCCCCCACCACGACCTGTGATCGCACCTGTGAAGAGCAGCAGTTTTCCGCACAAGCACCACTGCCCAGCCCTGTCCGTGTTGGCCGTTGTGGAAACAGCTGTTGCAGCTTAGTCTGGCTGTGTCCACTTGTGGTCGGTGCTTTGTGTTTAGTTGTCTGTCACCGTAACCTCGTTGTCTCTTTCCTCTCCAGTCCCCGCCTTTCCTGTGCTGCACGAGCACATGTGTGCAGACGTGTGCGTGTTCCCGTGCCTTGGCTTTTCCAGGGGGCTGGGCCATCAGCCAGATGTCCCCATCCTCTGGCCCTGCTTTCTGTCACCACTGGGAATACGATAGGGTGTTCTGGGTGTGGTGAGGTCCCCTGGCTCCCTGTGTCACTGGCTGGTGCCCATCCTGGACACTGACCTGAGGGGCAGCTGTCACTGCTGTCACCACAGAGCTGTGGGCCAGCAAGCTCCTGGGGAGACCCTAGCTTCTTGGGGACAGTGTTTGTTCCCTCAGAGCCCGGGGCATGGGTGGCCAGGCGGGGGAGGGAGGGTGGAGGTCCCCAGGAGCCTCCACAGAAAGGGCCCAGTGACAGGGGCTGCAGACAGCCGCTGGCTAGGGGCAGGGCGGGAAGAGGTGGAGTTGGCCAGAAGCTGGCACAGGCAGCCCACGCCGAAGCAGCAGGACTTGGGTGCTGGTGGGCTCTCTGCTCCAGCTTGAGCCAGGCCCCTCTCGTGGCCCCGGGTTGGAGGGGGCAGGGCAGGGGGTTGTGGCCCCGGGGAAAGGGGTTCCATGAGATTACCATTGCCCAGGACCCCAATGGCCCGTGTCAGGGACCCAGCTGTCCCTGCCCACCCCACCGCACACACCAACTTCTGTGTCCGTGGGAGCACGGGATCGCCGCAGAAGGGCGGTTGGGCGGCTCCAACTCTGTGTTCCCTCGACAAGCTGCATGTTGTATAGGGGACGTCGGAGCTTGGAAAGCCATGCTGGCAGGTGCCCTCTCACCAGCCAACTGCCTGCCTGTCGGGCTCCCCTGACTCTCGGGTCTCATGGGCAATCTGGGCCAGAACGTCCTGCCAATCCGTCACCTTGTGGGCTCCCCCTCGGCCTCGTGGCCCCTGACAGGAGGTGGCGTGGGCAGGTGAGCTCCACCTGAGATGGAGCTCACCAGAGATGAGCAGGCCTCATCTCTGTCCTGTCCAGACTGGCCCACCCTGACCCAGGACCACCACCCCTTTGTCCCTGAGCCCACCTGGACCCCGATTTCCACCCTGGCCAGGGCCCAGCCTCCTCTGCAGCGCTGGCCCTCTCTGGGAGGGTGTGGCCCGGGACTCCCCTGGCACGTGTGGCCCAGCTCTGTGCTGCTCAGCTGAGGAGGCCTGACCTGAGTCCCCCCGCCGAGCAGGGTCCCCAGACTCTGCAGTGTGGCTGTGAGTGGACAGCGCCAGCAACAGGCAGGTCCTGGTGACCACAGGAGCTCTGGCAGGTCAGCCAGCTGTGGGCGAGTGGCACTGACCTGGCTGTGCCCAAACACCTGGGAACTCACTCTGCCGAGTGGATGCATCTGGCACACTGACTTGGCGGGGTGGGGGAGGCAGGACAGCTGTACTCAGCGTGTGGGCGGCAGGGAGAGCAGAGGTGGTCACGGAGCTCTGCACCCACGTGTCTGGGGTCAGGGGTGCACAGCTGGGCAGGTTGGGCGCAGCCCCTGAGCCATGTGGCCCCGGGCCCCCAGCGCTCCAGGCGTCCTGGCTGAGGGTGGGGGGCTGGCGCTTTGCTGACCCAACCCGCTTGGCAGGGTGTGGGTGCTTCTCAGGTGGGGCCGGCGTGGTTGCGCTGTTCCAGTCCCGGGCACCCTCCGAGCCGTCCAGTGCTGGCCTCCACAGACCCAGTGTGTCCAGGGGTAGACGGGCCTTCAGACCTGTGCCTGTGGGTGAAGTTTCTAGAAGGGCTAGGCTGGAGGTGGCAAGAAGTGGCCTGCCCAGTGGCCAGTCACCCCACGGGGGACTCCCCATGGTCCACAGCCACAGCGTGGCCCAGACACCGCCACGTGCAGTCAGGGCCACAGTTCCTTCTGCAGATGCAGCAAGCGGCCTTCAAGCTACAGCACATGTGAACCCGCATGCACGTGGCACACGTGTACATGCACACATGCCTGCACATGTGTGGGGGGAGGGTGGCCAGCTGGGCAGCAGGAGCCTGGTCTGAGGGGAGGCCGAGGGACCCTGACCTCCCACCCTCCCTGTCCACCTGCACAGGAGGACCCTCCCGGCCCCGGCCCCCACCCTGGGACTGCCCTCCCTCCAGGGTCTGGACTCTCCTTGGGCTCCCGTGGCCTGAGTCCCACGTGGGGGGGGGTTCTCTGCTCTGGGTGGGGTCCCCTGACCTCCCAGGTACATGGGAGCAAGGGACTCAAACTCATACCCTTGTCCCAGGAAGAGAGAGGTGGACGGTGCCCTGGCAGGGCTGGGGGATGGTGACCCCAGGAGCATCACGAGGGGACGGTGCCCCGGCAAGGCTGGGGACCCTGCAGAAAGTGCTGGAGTACTGGGGGCCCCAGGGACAATCGGGATTTCCCTTTGTCTCCCCGGAAAGCCAGATGCGCTGAGGCACAGGCCCAGCAGGGATGGGACGGCTCCCGCCGCGCACGGTGAGGAGTGGGACGTCCACCGCCAGCCGCGCGCGGGCGCCGGCCGCTGCAGGAGGGCCCCACCCCCAGCAGTGCAGAGCGCCTGGGGACTCTGGCGGGACTCAGTAGAGAAAAAGCCCAACTATTTCTGTTTTCAGGGCAGGTTGCCATGGCTCTGTGGGCCTGGTGCCAGCCGGGGTATCTGTGGCCTCTGTTTAGTCCCTGTCGCCACGGCAGCGCTTGTTTGTTTGGATGTTACTATGTGTTAAATCTTAAACAAATTTCTTGCAGCCATAGCCCAGGTTTTTATTGACGACTACTGTTGGCCCCGACAGAGACACCCCTGCAGAGAGCTTGCAGTGGGTTTTAAGACACTTGCTAATCCAGACTCGATGTGTGCAGGCCCCGGGTGTGGGGTCCCGGGGGCCATGGACAGCAAGTCCATGTGTGCACGGGGAGGGGCGCGTCGCGCCTCAGGGACCCTGGGTCAGGCTGTGCCCACCCCCGCCACCCCCACGCCCTGCCTGTCCCAAATGTCCGCAGACCTTGCCTACCGGGCCCTCAGGGTTCCTCCGCACAGGGGTAGGCCCAGCCGGGGACAGAGGAAGGCGGCCTCCCTGGGCTCCAGCTTGTCTGCGGGCACCGTGTTCTCCCACGTGGGTGAGCTGATGGGTCCTGCTGACACCATGCAGGGTCCAGGCAGGGGCTCCGTTTGGGTGACACAGGCAGGGTCTGGACACAGGTTAGGAGGAAGAAAGGCCAGCAGCCAGCCCCAAGGAGGGCAGGGCCCAGGGGCTCCCTGGGGTCTGCCGGGTCACCAAGTGCACGGGGAGCAGCTCACCTGCTGCCACCTGCCAGGGCTGGCAGGGCCCAGCGGCTCATCCTGAAGTCTGCAGACGGCTCTGCTGGGAAGCCACTCTAGGGCCACATGTCCGGGGGTCCACAGGAAGGGCAGGGCGTGGGCAGAGCTCTGTGTGGCCTCACCCTAGGCAGCGTCTGCACCCCCAGGCGCCAGCCTTGCCTGCCCTGGGGTCCTGTGAGTGCCGTGTCTCGCCCTCTGCGTCCTGGGCCTTGGCCGGGGCCTGGGCCGGGACTGTCCCTGTGGGGCCCTCTAGTGGCCACTTGCAGCAGGGCAGGCGACTGTGGCTTCTGCAGAGTGGAGGTCAGTGGGGGCACGATGGGGCGCGGCAGGCAGGCGTCTGCGGCAGGGTTCAGTGAGCTGGTGGCCCTGTGGCCTTGCAGTCAAGGCTCCTGGGAGTCTGCGACGGCTCGCTGGGGCAGGACTGGCAATTCTCCGTGGTGTTGGCCGGGGACAGGTTCCGCTCCCTGTTGGCTCGGCCCGCCCACTCCGCCTCCTGAGCCTGGCCGGAGAGGGCACCAGGTCACCAGGTCATGCAAGAGGATGACCTTCTGCAAACAGAATCTGTCTGGACGACCTCAGGCGTCAGCCCACAGCCCACCCCAGGCCACGGCAGCAGCTGGGGCACAGAGGCTGGGCCCTGACGCACCAGCACGAGGCCCCCTGTCCCCGAGTCCAGGTCCTGGTGACGGCCACAGGCGAGTGACCACACAAAGGCACTAGGCAACGTGAAGTCAGGAGGAGCCGTAAGGGCAGGCCTGTTTCCACTTGGAGGGAAGTAACTGGATGTTGTGGGCAGAGACCACGGTGCTGGTGGAGCCGGGCAGCCAGGTGTGCCTGGGCGGCCATAGCAGGAGGAAGGGTTGTTGGCTTCCCGGTCGGCCCTGGAGCTGAGCTGCCCATTCAGTGGGTGTTTCCAGCCATCAGCTGAGCCCACATGGAGGTTCAGGAAGGGGCTCTGGTCTCCTGCGATGAAGGGAGAAGCCCTCACAGGTGGTCGATGTCCAGCCCCTTCCAGGCTGTGTGGGTGGAGGCCACCTCCCCGGCCCCGAGGGGTTTCCAGAAGGGCCCGGAACTGGAAGGGCCTGGAGGGCAGTGGCTGCTCTGGGTTCTCAGCGTGGGTGTCTGGTCTTGCTGGGGCCTGGGGGACGCAGGGTGGTCAGCATGCACGGGACAGCCCTGGGCAGGAGGAGGCTGCAGCTCGAAAGTGACGGGAACCACCGCACCCTCCTCGAGTGCAGGGAGCAGTCGGAGCTGCCAGTGCAGGTGAGTGGCCAGCCTGGGGCTGCCCCGTGGCCCGGCACAGATGTGCACACTCCCGTGCCGTGTTCACACGCGAGCCCGCCAGACAGGCTCCCCCAGTCCATGTCCCCACCAGGCAGGAGCCTTCGCCACCAGCCAGGGTCCCTTCACAGCCCCCACGATCTCAGCCCAGGGCTGAAGGGAACATGCGGGAGGCTTGTGCCCCGAGAGCCCCGGTGCTCCTCGGGCTCTGACTCTCGGCACAGGAGCAGCTGCTTGCCCACCCGTCGCCCTCGACAGCCCACTGCTTTCTGCCCGCAGTGGTATCTGGAAGGGTCAGTCCGGGTCCACACTTCTGCAGGTCCCGGGAGCCCAAGCGGCAAGTTATCATCACAGAGCTGCAGATGGAGAGGGCAGAGGCTCCGCCTCAGCCCAGAGCTCAGGGCAGCTTTGGCAGCCTCGGCCCTGGAGGCACAGACCTGTCCTCAGAGTGCAGTGTTGGCCCCACACTGGCTCCTGGACAGCCCTGGCCAGGCCCCAGTGTCCCCGAGAGACTGATCAGGGGCCCCTGCCGGCCCTGGGTTCTGCCCAGAGGCCTAGATGACACTGGGCCTGGGAAGCAAACCCCTCTCCTGGGGCACTGTGCGTGAGCAGTGGCCACATCTGCTGGGCTGGGTTTGGGGAGAGCCGCATCTTCTGAGCAGCCGTGTGCTCCAAGGACAGCTGCTGCCCCATGGGCTGCGGAGAACAAGCTGGCTCTGTGTCCTGGGAGCCACGGAGCGGGACTGAGTGTCTCGGGGAAGAGACAGGCATTGTCTTTCCAGCACTCGCTGGCAGAAGGCGCCTGGCTCTCCTAGGGGGAGCTCCTGTGGGCTCCGGGCAGAGACCAGGGCTCCCTCTCCCCAAGATCACAGGGACACTTGGGGACAAGGGCCTGGCCAGTGGCTCTTGGCACAGGCATCCACCCCAATCTGAATGTGGTCTCTGATAGGGGAGCCCCTCTGGTGGTGCCTGGAGCCGAGGCCGCCGAGAGGCGGCTGCATGCCCCAGCGCCAGTCACCAGGCTGGTGTTCAGGCCTGGCGTCCGCATGTCAGCCTGGGCAGGGCTGTGAATAGGAGACAGGGGCGCCTTTGACAGCACAGGACAGAGAGGCCCCACAGGGCTTTAGAGAGTCAACACGCCCCACGGGCCCAGAGGGTGGAAAGGGTGGCTTCATGCTGTCCGTGCCAGGCACCGCTGGGGGGAGGCCCTGGTGGGTATCCAGCTGAGAGCTCGGAGGGGCAAGAAGCCACTGCCCACACCCTGCACGTCCCCCAAGTGGCCCAGCCCCTCCTGGGTAGACGCTGCTGGACAACTGCCCGTACGTATGACAGCCGGCTCCACAATGGCCCCAGCATGGCCCCCTCCAGCTCGGCTCTCCCCCAGACCGGGCGTTTGGTTGGAACGACCCGCATCTCTGGGACACGTGTGAAGTGCGTGTGGATCCTCTAGGTGCCGTGTAAAACAGCGCTGACCTTGGGCTCTGGGAGCCCCACGGGGGCAGCGTCTTCGTATCTGGCTCCGGCCACAGAGCCTGGCCATGGAGCCCACCGTGTCCTCTCTCGCTGGCTCCTTCTCGAGTCACCGAGTGTTGTCCACGGTGTGCACACGTCACAGCGTGTTCATCTGGTTGCTGCTGAGGGACATTTGAGCTGTTGTTAGGTTTGGGTGGCTCTAAGTCTGTGACAAAATCCCATACAAGTTCACGTGTGAGCTCACGTTTTCATCTCCCTCGAGCAGGACCCAGGGAGGGGACCGTGTGCCACGCGGCAGGTGTCTTCTGGGCAAGACGCCAGCAGTGAAGGAGCCACCCGGCCACTGTGGCCACCTCAGCCTCGGGACCGTCCTTTTCCTTATTTTCATGGCTGCAGCCATCCCCGTGGGTGTGCGGTGGCACCTCGCTGTGGTTGCGTCTGCATCTCTGATGACGCTGAGCATCTCTCTGTGTGTCGTTTGCAGTCCGTGTACCTTCTTTGGTGATGTCTCTGGCTCAAATATTTTGCCCAGGTCTTCACACTGGGTTTCTTCTTGTCGAGTTTTCAGAGTTCTCTGTACCTTTCAGTGACGAGTCCTTCGTCGGGTGTGTGTTCGGCAAATACTTTCTCCCAGGCGGTGGCTTGTCTTTCGTTCTCTCAACAGTGTCTTCTGAAAGGCACAGTTCTCAACATGGGGATGAGGTCCCATTCACCACGGACTGTGTTTGGGTGTCATTTCTAAGAAATCTTCACCTAACCCAAGGTCACAAAGTTTTGCTTTTTCATGTTCTTGAAGCTTGTTTTAGGTCTAATAATTAGGACTGTGATCTATTTTGAGTTAATCTGGTATGTGGTGCAAGGTGTAGATAAAAGGGCAGTTTCTGCATAGGGGTCACCGGCTGTTCTGTTTATTGAAAAGAACCCTTTCTCCCCTGCTTGCCTCCTTGGAAAGCAGTGGGCTGCGTGTGTGTGTTTGTGCGTGCGCGCGCGCGTCCACGTGTGTGCATGTGGCGGGGCTCTCCCTGAACCCACCAGACGGTGCCCACCAGACGGTCTGTCCTCTGGCCAGAACTGTGCTGTCTTGTCACCCAGCTTTGCTGTGCACCTAGACATGTGTCAGCCTCCAGCTTTGTTCTGGTTTTCAAAATTGTTTGGCTTTTCTAGAGCCTCTGCTCAGTGACGTGGACAGAACCCGCTGGGGTGCTGTCGGGTCAGGCCTCTCTGCAGTCATGGACTGCAGCTGGAAGGGCCTGGGGGGCCTTGCTCACAGCTGCTCCTCGGGGACCCACAGTGAGGTCGTTTTAAACGTCGCAAAGCCTCATTAATTTGGATTAGTTGAGGTAGATCAAGTAGGAAAATGTTTTCTAATTAAAATTGTAAAAGGCAAAGAGCCAGTTTAGAACCTCTTTGCAGTTGCCCAAGTGAGGGTCTGATGAATGTGCTGTGGGGTGGAGCCAGGCTC